GTCGGCATCATCAGTGAGTCTCGTCATTCTTAGCACCATTCAACAACTCGTCAAAGAGACAAGTGAAGCCTCGAATTAGTCACCCAGACTCAGGGGAGAGCGATTAATGCCTCGAGTAGCACAGATGGGGTGGCAGGGCTGGGGTGAAATTCGTGAACCAGGGAGAAAGCAGACGGATCTTACGGGGCAAGAGAGAGACTGTGATAAGACCTAGGGAAGGAGGACTGCGTAACAATATGGTAGACTGTGATTAATATTCTTAGCACAAGGGCCTACGATGGACTCCGGACAAGGTGCGTTCCTCTAAGTCATTTTACCAAGATGACCTAGTTGCGAAAACAAGGTCAATTAACTTATATAGTTCACAATACTCTTATTCCATATAATGACTGCTTTTGTCACAATTCATTCATATTAAGTCTGCATTACTGATCATGTCAAGCAAAGACCATCACGCATGAACCAATTAGAATATGGCACAAGCACATCGGGCAATCCAATACTTATGTAAAAATGCTGAGGTTGGAGAAGTAGGATCACGGCTTTGTTTAATTGCCTTTCTCTTCCTGATCAAGTTGGGTATCGGTACAAAGTAACGAAGTGAAAAATGCACCTGCAGTTAAATCAAAAAGGCTCATAGCCAAATATCTTTTTATCTTGTTTGGAATTACATAGCACTTAACTTCCAGCTGCAAAATCTTAATTGTATTTACTCATACTTTTCATTACAGGCCTGTCTTAGTTTATCTGCTGAAGTCTAGAAAAGAGTCAATATATTTTAGCTATATTTTTGGATCATATCCCTTCAGTTAACGTGGTTATACCATTAATATGAGATGTATTCACCCAATTTCGTTTTAGGTGATAAGGGAATGGTATAACAATTTTCCCATAATGATATGAGTATAGCTGTCGTTTCCATTGAATTTTACATAGCCTTGCTTTCCAAAAAGTTGTGCTCATCCAAAGTGGACTGCAGTTTCTACTCCGCATCGGTCTTATCAACAACCCCAGCGGAAGTCGACATTTTGGGAATACATCTCATATTACTGATTTACTGGTAGTCTCGAAATAATAATGAAATGTGAAAAAGAAAGTAACGTAGCCGATTGTTATAGCAAATATACGTTTGCTTCATCGACAATCCCACCAAAGAATATGTTATGGCAAAAGGCCTGGTCTTCCTTGACATTCACATTTGCCCTGTGACCCAAGGGCACTCGTGGCAATGTGGCCGAGTGGTTAGCGTATCAAGCTCTCATTCTACACTGTCACGGTTCGACTCCTGCTGCAGGTGTTGATAAGTCTGATGCGAGGTCGAAACTGCACTCCACCCTGGATGAGAACAACTTTTGGGAAAGCAAGGTTATGTGAAATTCATTGGAAACGTCAGCTTTACTCATATAATTGTGGAAAAATTCTTCTACCAGTCCTTCATCACCTTAAACGAAAATGGGTGAATACATCCCATATTACTGATTTACTGGTAGTTTCGATACAATACTTAAATGCAAAAAATAGTTAAACCAATTTTTCGTTTATTAGTAAGCTCCCTTGCTCAT